TTAAGTATGTCTTACTGGAATAATGTTATTGATGCTGCATTACATATTTAACCAATAAAAAAATAACAATTTTAAAATTATTTTCGTGTTGTCTTCTCAAAACAATTTAAGAAAATAGTATAATCGTTTAAATATCTCCTTTTGTCATAAACAGCCTGACACTGAACCTTATATTTGTGTAGCCTCTTACTGCAAATTGTTTTGTTTAGTTGAATGCGGACAGTATCTAACCATTTTGTCCTTATTTTAGCCATATTTTACTTTTGTAAAATGAAACTCTTGAGGAAATTACCATCTTATATTATGTTATTTATCTATTACATTACATTTAAACAACAAAAGCAAAGTATAAACTTACTGTTAAACACTATCACCTGCATTTTTGTATAATAAATGCATACTCAAATATAATACCCTTCCTGATAATAGCTCTTATGTGTGCAAGTAGGTCTCTGCACCACTAGAGGCGCTGTCATAAAAAGCCCGTCCTCTGTAACCAATCAGAGACCCGAGATTTCAGCCCAGTGTTTATCGCGAGACCTCGGCTCTTCCTTTTCCCTTTTCGCCCTGAGCCCAAGATGGTAGGTACTGCTAGTAGAAAATGAAAAATACAAAAGCTTGATTATCCACGATCATCCTATGAATTAAAACATCTCATGTTTGTTACGACAGGCTGTACTTGTTGTAAACATAATGAACGTTACAGTCTTGCCATGATTTCGTGATATTTGACTATGTAAACGATATTAGCTTACCCTTTTGGTGCCGATGTTCAGGCAGCCGGTCCACGCATTGACTGTTCAAAAACGGGCTCTAAAAGTGCTTCATAATGCAAAGTATTGTCTTCAGCTATACATTTCTAGTTCACCAACGTTATCGTTTGTTACCAAATGTAAAATTAAGCCACAATTTAAAGTTGAGTTGTTTACACTGGCTATCGTGTTAGCATTTAGCTGTGTAGTGTCAACGTGTGAAACGGCCTGCAATAACATTAGGTGTTTTTCTGCTTCATTTAACAATATGAAAGTGACTGTTTTTGTGTACAAGTTGTGCTCATAGTATAACATTGTGTTTTAATGGCAGTCATAGAAGTGCAATGCAAGTTTAGCAATGGAGACTGCTATAGATGCTATAGTTTCCCCATATCCGTTACATAATGAACTAAAACACCCTGATCTGCTTGTTAATGCATTACTCTTTGATATTCTATTAATGCGTTTCTGTTGACTTTTCTAGGGAGTTGACATCAGACACAACAAGGACCGTAAGGTACACAGGAAGGAGCCTAAGAGCCAGGATATCTACCTGAGGCTCTTGGTCAAGGTAATATACTTTTACACGTTGTGATTGACTCATTTCAAAAGCACCACATGTATTTATTTCCATCTTGGTTGGCACTGTAAATTCTGTGTAGGTATTCTGTAAATCTTAACTGCTGTAGTCTGATCTTTCATGATCTCTAACTATCCTGTTGTCTTCTTACAGTTGTACAGGTTCCTTGCCCGTCGTTGTAATGCTCCTTTCAACAAGGTCATCCTGAGGAGGCTTTTCATGAGCAGGACCAACAGGCCCCCGATCTCCATCTCCCGCCTGGTCAGTCTGTCGTCTTTCAACCTGTCTAATCACCAATGAATCCTATCATTAGTTGTAGACTAACATTTGAATCATCACAATGTCAACTTGTACGATAAACATATCAAACAACACTCAGGGATATGGTTTATATATATTTTTGGGGATAACATGTGGTTAGGAAATGGGTACATGTGTTATTACTCAATGATTCCTTTTTTTACATTGGTACCTTTTTTGTATTCAGTTCACCTCTCTGTCCAATAATGTGAAATTATTTCCTGTAATTTGTTTAAAGCAATTTGTTGTATTTCAGCTGAAAGGCAGTGCTGGGTACACTTTAATAAATACACTTCAAGTACCGGTAGTAGTGCTATCACTCTTATTGTGAGGTGAAGTTTTGGTACATTTGGATTTGGACAACTTGTTTTCTTGGAGTCTGTTCTGCTTTCCAATGGCTCTGAATTCTGTGTGAAAATGGATGTTGTTAACACCTTTGGGTAAAACTTAAGTCAGTGTTAATACCCATATGGCTTTTATTTTTGCCTCAACACTTGATACGGGAATGTTAAGAAGTGGTGGTCAACTTGAAATAAATTGTACACGCGATGTCATTCGTGTAATGCAGCCAATAACTGCTTTCATGATATTGCCCAGATTAGATGTCCTAAAGTTGAAAGTGTATAAGACCTGTTGTTCATACATGTGATTGTGTGTGTGCTAAATATCTAACATTTCTTCTATTGAATCTAGATCCGTAAGATGAAGATGCCTGGCCGCGAGAACAGAATCGCTGTCATTGTGGGATCAGTCACTGATGATGTCAGAATTCAGGATATCCCCAAGCTCAAGGTAACCTCTCTTTTTAGAATGGCAGACTTCAACCCTTACATTGTGGTTTTCTCTTTAAAAACATCAAGTAGTGCAATAAGCATCTTGCCTTAATGCTGTGATGTTACCTGTGAAAGGCTCTGAGATTGTCCTGTTTCTCCTGCCACAGATCTGCGCTCTGAGGGTGACCGATGGCGCCCGCCGCAGGATCCTGAAGGCAGGCGGTCAGGTGATGACCTTTGACCAGCTGGCTTTGGCTTCTCCCAAAGGACAGGGCACAGTGCTGCTGTCAGGTAAATAAACAGATTGAATTCATAATAACCATGATGCAATTGGAGAAGAGGTTGTAAGCAGTAAATCTTCCATTGCTGCCTTTAGTTCACATATCTACTGTAGTTAGGCATGATTTAGTTTCATTGGGTAAACACTTTTAACAGAAGTGTGGTGATGCTATTATGATAAGAACTCTCCATCAATGAGGAAAGCAGGCTTTTATCTATATTTACTGATGGGCAATTAATCACCGCTTAAACATAATAATGGGTTTTGTTTATTTGTTTTTGTGGTCATTTTGTCAGACTAAAGAGACCCTCATATCTTATCATCTTCTGTATGACCTCTGTTTAGGCATAAGGTGTTAAGTATTGACACATTTGAAACTGCCAGCATTGGGTGACAATGTTATATCTATGGAAAACATAATTTGGTGCATTAGTTGGGAATTAATCAATCTTTATATTCATCTTTTGGAGATGAGACATGTTTTGTGTTATCAGACTATTTTCTTGTCATGTGTTTTCCTTGCTAACCAACGATCTAGAAATATTCAGCTGTAGAATTGCTCACATTAGATTAAATCTCTTTGGACGTCTATATGGCATTCATAATGCTGAACACAAAGAAGTGAGGCTAGATTGCTAAAAATGCCATTTATCACAAATAAAATAGGAAAGCAATAATGCGGCAAATGGAATTGCACATTTTTAATCAGCTTATGTGCAACAGAAACTATTTTGTAATATTATAATCTCTGCTATTAGGAGGTGAAAGTGTTAAGAATTACAGTTATGAATGGCGGTGTGGAAATACTTTTTAGTAATGATCTTTTGAATGCTGTATTTGCTTTAAATCCTAAACCGCTGTCTTTTTCTTCAGGACCCCGTAAAGGCAGAGAGGTATACAGGCATTTCGGAAAAGCCCCTGGAACTCCTCATGCCCACACCAAGTATGTATACAGTTCATGTGAACACAGAAAAACAGAACAAAATGTTCAAGTTTGGGTGTCTAAACAAATAATTGTTATACACTAGTATTTAAAATAGTCTGATACCAGTTTACTATTGTATTCTCATGGAAATTGCACTCTGGAAAGTGGGGTTAACGTATTCAGCTTTTGTTGTCTGTCTGTCGTCATCCTGCCATAGTTTCACTAGTTGTCTGATATTCTGGTCAATGTTGTTGTATACATCATTTGTAGTAGTGGATTATATTTTACACATTATAGGTAGTAACAGAACTAATGTACACAAAAAAATCACAAGAAACTCGATGCCTCCTTAGTATAAAAAGAGTTTCAATCGTTGCCTAGTAAAACGGAGTAGCAATTAGCACTCGAGGCAAAACTGTGTTTAATGATGACTCTTAAACCCTTTAACAGATAGTGAGATTAAAACAAACTAAATGCACTTTGAAGGTTATTATAAGCGCCAGGCCAAACGTAGGTAAACTGTTGCTTAAATTAATCATTATGAGCAGTAACATTTTCCTTTTTAAACGTATTCGTTATGGAACCAAACAATTGTAATTGCCATCCTCTGATAGCAACACTGCAAAATGTTTTAGTTCTCCTTTGTGGACTTGCTAAAAGAAGGCTGTGAAAGGCCCTCATTTTTACTTGTTTGTAAGCGCTTTGAGCACCAGGAAAAGTGCTTTATAAATGTAATGTGTTATTATTATTATTATTTTACATAGACAAAAAGTATTTCTGACTGGTAAATAAAATGGGTACCAAGGAAAATAATTGATACAAGGCATAATGTTTTTCAATGTGTTGTTCCAAGTGAAAAGTTAATGCAGCAGAATTTAGACTTAATTATAGCCAATTTGTTATATTTATCTATAAACATGTTTAATGAATACATACTAAACTTGATTTTATTTATTTTCCTCCAGACCCTACATTCGCTCCAAGGGCAGGAAGTTCGAGAAGGCTCGTGGTCGCAGAGCCAGGTGTGGCTACAAGAACTAGTCTGTGTCTTTGTTTTCCATGCAATCTGATACAAAATAAACGGTCGACTGTACGAAATGAATATGTCTTGTGTTTTTTATTGGACAACCTGCACATCCTGGCAAATAAATATATCACACACTGACGTTAATGATAAAATGAAACGTTCAACAACACAGCGGCAGAGGACCAGGATGAAGATAAAACGTCTCGCATTTATAACTTGTTTCTGTCCCTCAGAACCGTATTATTTCCTTTTATAGTCACTGAGGTTTTCACGTAAATCTGACGTCAGGAATGTTTTGATCACTATTGATTATGACTGCAAGGGGAAAATGAGTTGTCCAGGAAGTGTTGTCCTGTAAATGATTGGAGAATGTCGGTGGGTGTTGCAATGTTTTCCTTATCGCCATTGGACTTCCTCTCCGCCGCTCAAAGCTGCTGCTCCTGCGTCTCCAGACACTTCCTGCACCGAGCTACAGCATTCAGTGACTATCTGTCGTCGTGAGGGGGAGACAAGATGAGGTAATTTTGGCTGTTTTTCCTTTGATATGTTACATTATTATTGTTCTTTCTAAGCCGAAGGTAGCAAAAATATAAGTGTTTAAAAGTTAGGAATGTCCGGCTCCATGGAGTCAGTTTAAACCGACAGTTAGCTTAACGTTGTTACCTGCGTTAACTTGGCTACCTCCTCATCAATCAACATATCAGACTTGAACTATCAAATGGGGGATTTTCCGTGCACCCATGGGGATGACTGGTAATTTTCAAGGGAATAAAGCTGAAATGGTGTCTTAAGTTAGCTAAAAGCTGCTAACCACGGCTAACTGACACAGCTATGTTGCGCTTGTCAGTTAGCAGTTTACAGTAGCTACTGTAGTCACAACATTAGCAAGCGGTGGCTATCCCTTTGATTTAACGTCAGGATTCGTGACTTTTTACGCCGTTTTGCCCGTTTGTGGTTATTTCAAAGGCTGCCACTGTTATGGAAATGGTTATTCGGTGTAGTTTTGCTGTAACTGTTGAACTACAGCCAGAGTTCAGTTGTTCAGCATGCTAACAGCTAACATTGGGTGGATGTCATCGGTAAAGTTTAACGGTTTGCTTTTTTTACTTTACGTCATCTAATCAAACTTTATTTATAAAGCACTTTTCATTCACAAAAGTCACTCAAAGTGCTTTACTGAATCTCCCCCTTCCCAGGTAATAACCAGACTAGCATTGCTTTGTGATGACAAAGAACCCTTAATACCAAAACCGGAATAAAATGAGAATAACATCTGTGTGCTCTCTTTCTGCTCCTGGTTAAAATGTGTGCAGCTGAGTGTTGCAGTAGTTGTAGTGATCTATTAGACATGCTCTTAACGTCGCTGTTAAGTCAGTGTTTAAGTACACTGAGTATACTCTTGAGTTCAAAGTAAAAAGCTAACTTGAAATTTGCCCAAAATACCCAGATGTCACTCAACAACAGCCTCATTGTGTGGGGGACGAAATTAGCCTGCTGATATTATTTCTGGGTGTCCCGCCCTGCATTTCAAGGACATAAGGTGCAACAATGGGCATCAGTGAGGTGCTTTTGTGTGAGTTTTATCAAGACAGGACATCAGCCAAGTATTGATTCTGTCTGCACCTCTGCTTGCATAATGTTTTCGGACTGTTATAACATTTGAAAGAACGATGTAACCAGTTTATTAATTTAGGGTTCACCATCTGTGATAGATAGTCCAGTAATTGTACTTTGACGCTCTTCAGTCTAATTAACTGGACCCTGCTGACTTGGAGCTTTGACATTACTGCCATCTATATACCTGTACATAACACTCATGATAATAATTAACTACTCAATAGTAATTCTACCATAACACTTTTCAGAAACTGTAACTTAAGTGAGTCACAGAATACAGAAGTGCAGTGTGTAGTGAACTTTATTAGTTTTTTGGGAACAATTTGAGATTGTTGCTTGCTGATGCAAAATCTCTAAAACCCATGTAGGTCAGCAAATTGCTAAATCTAAATCTTAGATTCAATTGTGAAAGAGTCGAGACACCGTTTCCCCAAATCCTGTTGCACAAAAGCCCTTTTATTTTAAGAAATAAAATAGCAACCAGACTTGGTCAGTCTCATTGTACCTTTCATGCTAAATAATGTGGTGTCTCAGCAAGGCTGTTGAGGATGTGTGACTGTTAGTCATTGTGTTCTCAGACCCTTTTGGGGTCAAGGGGCATGATGGGCCTTGTATTGCTTCATCCTGTAACCTGCAATCTCCTTCTCTTATCATGGCAGCTCTTCTATGTACTTGTTCTACTCTTATTGTAAAAATGTCTGAAATATTCACCTTTGTACAGTAGAATCCCATTGAATTACAGACATTAAATGTATTACGTTTTGTTCTAGTTTAATATCAAAATCTTACCATCTGATCTTAAATATGTGTAGGTGAGACACCCATACTTTAAAGTTCTGCTATTGTTTTGTCCACTTCTACAATTGACCTATGTCTTTTTCTCCTCCTCTGTGTAATACAGGAACAAAGATTTTTGGGAGGGAACGTGAGGAATGACTCAAGGACATTAACATGACATAAATTAAGGACACACCTGAAGCTGTCTCCTTGTTTGTCTTTTGTTTTGTCTCTGTTTTTTTGTGTTTGTTTTCGTTGTTTAGTCTCCATTTGTCTTATCTGGTGACTCTGTTCTCGTGGAGAACAGATAACGAAGGTGCATTTGTTTGGATGAAACTTAAATGTATCACACTACTACTGTCTTGGGGACAGGCCTAGTTACTCCTCTTGTCTGCCTCCTATATCTCTGAGACTAAAGACAGCAATAGAGGTATCAAAGGTCTTGAAAAAGCCAGCATTTATCATATCTTTGTGGCATTAATTACACGTGGGCCAGTAATTATCATGCAACATCCTCTACACAGAATTATTTACTTGTGCAGTAATTTAATTTAATTTCGTAGCCTCCTTGTTCAAACAAGGTGTGTTTGTTTGTCTTATTCATACTTAGTGAATCACTTTTTCAATGCAACCAAGAGTTTTAGTTTTATCCATTTGTGTAATTATTTGAAGATTTATTTGTAAAGTCAAGGAGCTGCTCAGTTGCCTTATATTGCTATCGCATTGGCGGCTTCAAGTTGTGATGTAAACTTTTTTTTTTACTTATGCAATCTTTGTGATGAACACTTCTGTGTAAATGACTGATCTTGTAGTGGAAAATATAATTTTGTAAGTTCTGTGTTCTCTAAATATGTTTGAGATTTGCTCACTCGTTTTCCACTGGCAGTAAATTGTGTAGGCTGACGGCTCTTCAGATCAAACTGTGGGACGAAGACATGAGAGCTTTTTAACTGTGACACAAAGACTGATCTTAAGCTGTTCCCATCTTCACTGGATACATACTCTGAACAGAAGATCCTTTAAACTGGAAATATTTTTTTCTTTTGAAATGAAGACATACTTCTGAAATGGACCGACAGACCAGAAACTAAGAGACTCTTGAATCCCAACATTGAAAAGGAAGAATGATTTTGAGGAGATTTCAGGGATAAATCTCTCAGACTGACAACTCTTCAAGCATCTAACTGTAGAAAATCCAGCCCTTAAGCTCACATTTTTTCCCGATAAGCCTTGTCCGCTTTAGCAGTGAGGATGCGATCTCCAGAACCGTCTTCACCTTCCACGGCAGAAGCCCTGCTTCACAGCCAGTTTGCTAGCTGGGGTTCAGGCAGCAACAGCAACAACAACAGCTGCCCCAACAGCCCTGGTGGTCCGGGCGGACTGTCCCCCGCTGCCTCCCCTACTCCGTCTCCGGCCTCCAACTATGCCTTGACCCTAACCCACACCCACATACATATCCAGCGGCTGTCACCACGGCCAGGGAAGGAGGCCCGTCTCCTGCTGCCTTTATCAGAGCTGGTGGGGTGCAGCTGCCCCCGGGCCCCTGCGCCGCCCCTCCTCGTGCTGTACTGGTACCCACCAGGAAAACGGCGGAAAGGGGTTTCTCGACGCAGGCAGGTGAGGGCCTACCTGGCAGAAAGCAGGTCTGAGGCTGAGAGGTGGTCGGCTGCTGTGCAGTGTTTACTCCGAGACGTGACCGTCACTGCTGACACCGGTGAGTGTGCCTCTCACTAGTTTTAACTGTTAATGTTTTAAAGGTTAGGAAAATGCTCGAATTTAAGTTAATCCTTAAAAATGTCTTTATTTTCAAAATGATCGGGTGCTTCATCTACACAATCACTGAAATGAAACAATTGTGTTGTCATATGTGTTTGTTGTCCCCTGGTGCCTCACAAGACAAGGAGCAAACCAAAACATACAATTAAAAAAACTCAAATGAACTTCTGTTCAAATAAATAAGTGACAATCTATTGATTTTGATTTGTATCGGTGACAATAGACATTGGGTATAAAGTCAGTATGTAAACTTAATGTTGTATTGATGCATTGATGCTAACCATTTAGATATGATTAGAGTCAGTCTGCAAAGTTTGAGTTGAAATACATTGAAAGAGCTTGAGAAGTTCTTTAGTTGTCTCCTAAAAAGGTACACACCCTGTGTTACAGGACCATACTGGTGCTGATTAATAGCACACTAACGTCAGTTGTATGTATGTGTCCTTGCTGCAGTTTTGAAAGCTATATATTTGAGTTCATGGTTAGTTAACTGTACTTGATAGAGTGATTGACTTTGACTGGCCATAATGTTTGTCTCTTTGAAAGAGTTTTGAAGTCATTGTGTTTACTAAATGGAAACACAATGTTGCCTCATGCCACCATGATTTATGCCTCCTTTGTAAATGCATGCTAAATATAGCTTATTGTCACAATGACCCAAGACTACTGAGTAGACGACACAAATGGTACCAAGAGAAGTTCAGCATTTTAGGGGTTATGTAGCAAAACACTAAGAGAGATTAACACGAATGCAGGGTAAGAGGCTGTGAGATTTATTTCCCACAGTATTTAGTTTGGATTTCCATTGTTTGTTTGTTTCAGCTACATCTCACATTTATGTAATATCACTTTGAGTATCCTTATCTGTCCTGCACACACGGCTGGTATCATTCAGTGTCAAATGAGAGACAAAGAGGGTGGGGCTGCTGCAGCATGCCACCGCTTCCCAAGCCCTGTATCCCCCAGCCTTAATAATCTAACAGATAGCAAGGCACCGCTCAGTGTTTACTTTAGTGTGTGTGTCTGTGAGTTTGAATGCGTATGGACATTATAGCTGTGGTTAGCTCGGGTGATATGTTCTGTGTTGTTTGTTGGGTCATCCAGGATTATCTGAGTGCAGTCATGTTATCTCTTTCCCCGCTGGCATCCATCCGCACCATACTAAATCTTTGATAGATTTTCAGAGATAGCTAGAGAAGATGATTATGTAATTTGAGCTTTACACCTGGGCTGATAAAAGAGCAATGAAGCATTAGGAAAAGCGCTATACAAATCCCATGTTGTTTTATTATTATTATACAAGCATGTAAGTGAATTTAAATGATTAACAGACGCGCTCTCAAGTGATCCATTATGCAGTGTGAGGTAAAATGAAGCTAAATGGTTGAATGCACTCAGGATCCAGGGTTGGGCAACAGTTAGTGATGACAGCTCCCTGTTAGCTTGTTTCTAAAATGAAGATAACCTCTAGTTCCCTTCTTTATTCTGTAAAAAAACCGGTGTGAGTTTTGACTAATTCATGCTTTCTTTCATACAGAATTTTCAAGAAGTCTGCTACCTCGTCCCAGGCGACTACTGTTATTGGTCAATCCCTTCAGTGGGAGAGGCCAGGCCATGCAGTGGTGTCAGACACACATCCTGCCAATGATCAGAGAGGCCAACATCAGCTACAACCTCATACAGACAGGTAACATGCCAATGCTTTTACATACACGTCGCAGAATAACATTATTGATCCCCAGGTGGAAATTAGGTTACGTTATAGTTGCTGCATTTCTAGAATAGAATTTAAGAACTACCTTTTTAAAGAGAATATACTACAATATATAAGAATAATATTGCTGAAAATGGGATCTGTGATTATATCAGCATTATAAGTATGGACATATGTATAAAACATAGATTTTTAACCAGGTTTAACTTAATATATATCTGTCTCAGAGCGTCAGAACCATGCCAGAGAGCTTATCAGAGAGATATCGCTCCCAGAGTGGGATGGCATCATCATCATCTCTGGAGACGGCCTGCTGCATGAGGTGTGTAATGCTTTTTGTTATGGGGGGTTAAACATGATTGAATACTGGGGTATTTACAAGAAGCAAATATATAACTGTGGATATATTTACCTGTGATTCAGACCACATGTATGTATCTTAAACTGGGTCCACTGATATGATTTTCTGAAATCTCTGTGTTGTGTTCTTGCAGGTAATCAATGGGCTGATGGAGCGTCCTGACTGGGAACAAGCAATAAAAACACCTGTCGGCATTCTCCCCTGCGGCTCTGGGAATGCCCTGGCTGGCTCCATCAACCACCACGCAGGGTGAGCATGTTCAAAACTCACATGTTGTTTTGTCTTATCTTTAAACTCAAGAGGACAATGTTGTCTTTGTCATGACTTCGTTATCTAGCCCTAGATATCTCTGAATAACAGAATATAGGACTTTGTATTGCCTGTGTGTCTGTACAGTTCTCTCCTGAGCTTACTGAACTGGGTGTTTTTCTTCTTCTTCTTTGAATCTCCCTCAGGTATGACATGTGCCTTCGGGAGCCCCTCCTTTTGAACTGCTGCTTTTTGCTCTGTCGAGGCGGAGTCCGACCCATGGACGTGATCTCCGTGACGACAAGCCCTCCTCCCTCTGTCAACAGTCGTCCTGCAGCACCCAGGAGACTGTTCTCTTTCCTTTCTGTGGCCTGGGGCTTTGTGTCTGATGTGGACATTGAGAGTGAGAGGTGGGTGTGTAACTGATTCAACTGTAAGGCCTTCAGCTGTTGGCTTTCTTAATCCTGACTTTTGTGATAACACCTTTTGTCCAAAAGAAAGATGTACTTATTTCAACATTATCTTTGCTGGTTTGGTAACACAACAGCCCTTGGGCTAAACAAATGTACACAAATATAATCACATACTGTAGATGCTAGATCAGCACAACACTCTCCCTCTACCTACCCCTCACCCCCTTTTTCACCCAACCAATAATTTCTTCGGAGTATGTCCCTATTTAAAGAAAAAGGGATAAAAACAGTGCATGATATTAAAAGAAAAACATCAAACAAGTCAGTTGCAGAGAAGGCATAAAATAAACCATTGTGTGATTTAGTTGAAAGATTGGGATGAAAAAAACTATTTAAAAAAAAGTGAAAACTATAAATGTGAGTCATATTGTTAGATTTAATCCTTACTGAAATATAAAAAAAGAACATCTTCAATGTCTCGAGACATGTCTTTTTAAACTTTCCAGGCTTTCCTTTTAATTTGGTGCACACGGTGCTAATGCTGTCCATCTAGCAGAAGTAGTTGGTTACACATGTAAGATTTATTTGACATATGTTCTTGTTCCAGATATCGTGGCCTGGGCTCGGCTCGCTTCACCCTGGGCACCCTGGTGCGCATTGCGTCTCTTCGATCCTACAAGGGTCGTCTGTCCTACCTGCCTCCCTCTATCAACCCCGTCTCACCCGACACCACACCTCCTCCCCCAAGGAGACCCCTCTCCCGCAGTATCACAGAAGGCCTGGATGAATTCTGTCGAACACCCATCCATCGCACCTGCTCCGACATGGGCATCAGCGAACAGAGGAGCCTGCAGAGGGGCGAGGTAGAGAGGGAGAAGGAGGAGAGGCAGAAAGAGAGGGAGAGAAGAAGGGAGAGGGCTAGGGGAGGGGGATCTGGCGTGGTGAGGGCAAGCAGCCTGGCAGAGGACAGAGAGAGAGAGAGAGAGGGGGAGATGGAGGCAGAAGAAGGGAGGTCAGGGACATGTTCCGAGAGTTCAGAATCAATTGAAAGGGAAGACTGCAATATGGGAAGGGGGGAGAGGTTGGAGGGGATCAAGGACGAAAGGGAAGACGAGGGGAGGGTAGAGCAAGACTCCAGCGAGATGGAGGTGGAGGAGAGGGGGAAGGATGGGGAAGGCAGTGGTGGTTCTGCAGAGGGGGAGAGAGTGGGCTGTGGGGTGGACATGGGGCGAGTGGCAGACGGAGAGCCAGAGGGTTGTCTCCCTTACCCAGAGGGTCTTCAGGACGCCAGGAAGGCCCTGAGGAAGAACTCAGCCCCTTCCAGCCAGATCGCCCACGCCCTGTTCAACCAGCCGCTCAGCCAGGAGGCGGACGCAGACTCCGGCTCGTCCTTCGGGGTGGAGGACGTGGACCTAAATGGATCCTACTACCAGAAAGAGCCCTTCCAACTGGACGTTGCTCGAGAGCGATCTCTCACCATCTCGTCCTCCCCCTTCCGTCACTCTCCCTTCTCCTACAAGCCCAAGACCCTGGACCAAAACCAGAACGCTTCCCGGCCGAGGCCCCTCTCTCTCCTCCAGCACTCCCACTCAAACTCTCTCCCCCCGAAACTTCCCTCCCTCTCCCTGTCTCTTTCTCCTACACCCCCATCTTCCCCTTCATGTGCCTCCCCCCACTCTTCATCCTACCTCGTCCCCCGTCCTAACACACCAAACTCCACCTCGCCCTCCCCCTCGCTACGCACACCCTCCTCAACTTTTAACTTTGACATTGCCGAGCCAGCAGGACCTCAGAAGAACCGTCCTTTATTCTCACTGCCTTTAAATGCCCCCAGAGATGAGTTGTTACCCCCCCTCGACCAACCCCTTCCCACCAGAGACTGGGTCACTATTGAAGGGGACTTTGTCCTGGTCCTGGCCCTTTATCAGTCCCACCTCGGGGCTGATCTTCATGCTGCACCCCAGGCCAGGTTTGACGATGGGCTGATCCACCTGACCTTTGTGCGGGCGGGGATCTCCAGAGCCACTCTCTTGAGACTGTTCTTCGCCATGGAAAGAGGAACCCACCACTCTGTGAGCTCGCCCTATGTGAGCCACATCACCTGCAATGCCTTCAGGCTGCAGCCTCTGTCCACACGAGGGACCCTCACTGTGGACGGAGAACTGGTGCCCTATGGGCCTCTTCAAGCGCAGGTTAGCAACACTTACTGACTGTAGTTTATGGGATATGAATCTGCCCAAAAAGCATTTATTAGTGTCTGGGAAAGAGCGAGAAACAGTCAAACTACCTTCTTTTGATAACTAACTAATGATTTGTGTATCACTTCCATTCACTGGAAACCTGCTTTAGATCCACCCATACATCATTTGCATGTAACTGTAATATTCCTTATAGGACTTTGCCAGTGATAGTGGTCAGTAAATCAATAACTCTATTTCATTTGTAATTTGTTTTTAGCTATGATGATGAACAGGCAGAATTGAGCAAATCAGTTTTATTTAAGCTTTTAATCATAATTTCCTTAATTATTCAAACAATTACTTTTCTCCTAATTTCTTAGGAGATTTGTTGTTGTTTTGCAGATGTACGTTATGCTTTTATTAATGCTGTCAATTTATGTTAATTTGTTCAAGTGAAACGTGTCATTAGTTATAATGTACCTTTTGTATATTTCACAGGTTCATCCCGCCTTGGCTCGTCTCATCGTTGGTGACTCTGGAGTAAAGATGACCAGATTCTAATCAGTGATTGGTTGAGCAGATTGATGGACACAACACTCTACTGAATTATGTAATCTCTGTTTGCCATCTATACTCTGAAAGAGGGCAAGCGTCTGAGAGACTTAAAATAGCCTGGATTGCAGAAACTGCTTCCCTGGGGTTTAATGAAGGGATAACCCACCGAGCACCAATGGAGCATGACTGCAGGGATTGATAGCACATTTGAAAATGGATGGAAAATGCGCCTCATTGCACAGCTGTTGGATTACGCTCAGCATGGAAACTGCACAGCCTGGGATAGTAAGAGGGAAGAACAATCGAATGTTTAGGGTTTTTTGAGTGCAGATAGTGCATGTGTTGGATGTATACGTAGTGGTATGCATGCAGAGAAGCACTACCTGAATTTTGCGTTTTAATGAGATAGAAAGATCAAATTAAGAGAAATGTGTTCTTTAACATGCTACAACAAATACACTGAGATTCACTTGGGCCAACATCCCAATAAAATTGGCCCCAACCTTCTTATCTTTCCGACCAAATGTCAAAGTATAAATCTTCCGTCCATGAAAGGAATGCCTTATCTGACACTGGACAGTACAGTTGTACCTTTGCCCTTATTGCTCTGTGTTATAAAAGAAACACAAATATTCTTAATGTCTGTCCACCTAGCATAGTGTCCGTCCACTACATCAAAGCCAAGCTACGCTTATATACTCAGACATACTGGTAGACCCACCAAACTGCTGTTCTCTTTGAGCACACGACACCAACTGCTTTAAGCATCAGTGGAGAAAATGTGGAGAAATGTACACTTTAATGCTGTCAATGCTAGTGACTCAATGTAGAGCAGTGCCATCAAGCTTTTCAGGGTTAGTTCATTAGTATGAGCAGAGGAGCCGTTGAGCGGCGACCATTACTGACATTTGAAAAATAATCTGTGTTTTTTTTTTTGCCAGTGGATGCACGATTATGATGTTAATGTTATCACAATTTACAACATATTGAACTAGAAAATGTCTGAACGTAGCAAGCTTCAGTGGTTTTAGACTGAATTTTAAAGAAAGGTTTCAGAATCACACTGATCTCTCGCATATATATCACTATCTCTGAGTAATTGGAAGTTTAGAGGACATTACTTGTCTCTGTTAAATAGCAAGTAGTGCATTTCATTTGCACAATAACTGGAGTTAAAGGAACACAGAAAATCACTATAATGCTTTGTAATGTTTAGATACATCTTCAGAGTTTCGCAGAATTTGACACAATGCTTTGTTCTAGAAAATGGATGCACTTGTATTAATAGCCGAGTCAAGATACTATAATAAATTGTTCGCATTGCAGTCCTAGCCTGAAATATTTATTGTCTCGATTTGAACAGTTTTTGAACGGTAGGACAGACTCATTACAGAATCATCATTCATTTAAAAGTCCTTTCGTAGAGACAAACAAGGACCCAACACTAAAATCCAGCAGATTTATGATCAAGAGATACAGTAAAATGGACACAAAACAACTTTCCCTTGAAGAATCACCCAGCAGCAGAACTAATCGGTTGAATGATGGATTGGGTTTTGAATGGAACGTATCTTGAGAACATGTTTCAGATGGTTATTGGCTCCTCGGTGAAACCAAACCGCAGATACTGGAGCCCATAATAGGAATTGTCGTTTTTTATAAATTATTTTTCTTAAATGCAATATTAAACCCTGCTGATATTCTTGATCAGGAAAAAGGATTAATAAAACCATGTGCAGTGTATCAATCAGTACAATGTGCCGCCTGCTTGGGTCATCGTCTACATACTGTATGTCCTGGTCATGCCTGGACAAATGAATGCCTTTGTAAAATAAACCTGTAAATGCTGGCTGCTGATCATGAACTGTTTGAACCTGACTGCTGAAAATGGAGTAAAACTCTTTGCTCACCAGGCATTTATTTTTCTTCTTCTTTTATTATTATTTTTCTTCAGAATGCACAATTCAACTTGACTACCACAACTACTCTGCCCTCACACAGCTTCATCATGTAAATACACACTTTGGGTTAAGGCTTGTAACAGTACCAAATAGAACAAAAATACTTTCACTTTCATTACGTTTTATACCAAAAAGTTAGCTCTCAATGCCAAGTAATCTAGCTCACATACCTGAACCATGTTTTGTCTATGGCCATAGCGCAGTGAGGCACATTTGATAGGACAATGTCGGGTACAACCTATGGTGTAACCCCTAAATTGATAATGCTGTTAAGATGTCTGTAGTGGACTGCCTGTAATGAAATTGTAATTATTAATAAATGAAATATGCACATACACAATGTACAGTTATTAGTTATATGTGATTTTTGAATAAATGTAACCTGATAGGTTTGTCTGGAGCAAATGTACTGTACTTTTGTCACACCAGTGAGTCTTTAAATCTATATAATACAATCAGTTTCTTTTATCAACAATCTTTATTTCATTCATTTTAGTTTATTAGCATTAGTGTACCAAAGACAATATTTCCACAACATCAAGTAATTCTGAGATTTAAAAAAAAAAGGTACAATATCTTTAAAAAGTGAATATTAAATCATTAACATATTGCCCATTAATAAACGAATAGATTTCCCCAGTGAAATGGCCAGGACCCAAAACACCTTTCCTTTAACGTTAATGTAATGTGTGATATGTATAGTTTTATATTGAAAAACAACTGACCGGATGTAGAACATCGCTTCCGGTGTCGCCACCTTCTTTGTCTCCGGCCCAACATTTCGACATCAGGGGTTTTCTATTTTTTCCACCTTATTTTTTAGGATATATTTACTTATATATCCTTACATTTCTGGATTGAATGACAGTCGACTCTGAACTATTAATGCCTAAAAGCAAAGCACCAAAAATGGATGACCTGGACTACAGTAAGTGAGCTTTCTAACGAGATATCTGCATGTCGCTAGCTAGTTGTGGCTAGTTGTAGCTACTGGCTCGGTGTATTTGCTCAGGTGTGACAGTGCTCAACCCTTTTAACATTTACATGACACATATTGACCATATAGCCTGTTCTGTCTTTTCCATAAAGTGTGGGTAAACACGTAAACCACATTCAGGGTAAAAGGAGCCACAGCGGTGCATTAGCTTAGCCTGACGCCAACTAAATATTGATTCATGTCTCTGTGTGCTCGGAGCTAAGGTTTCAGATATCCTCGATAGACATTTAACACCTTCGAGTTAAGCAAGATAGAGGTTTGCTCCTTACAATTGTCCTGGTTTTGTAACCAGTAGCCTGTCTGTCTGGTGGAGTATGAATCAAACAGTGGATGCAGACTGTGGGCGTGGTTGGTGGTGTTTTAGAGCAGCTGTTAGTTTCAGACTAAACACACTGCTGATGGAGGCTTTGCCGGATCACGAGTCATCCTTTTTCAGACACCATCAATCCATATGTTGTGGGACATGTATACACATTGTGAAGATACTCTGATAAAAGTCCTGCATTCAAAATCTTAAAAGTACTAGCACTCACTAAACTCGTATTTAAAGCTGTCAAATAAATGTAGTGGAATAAAAATAGTGTCTTCCAAAATGTAGAGAAGAAGAAGTATAAGGAAGCGTAATCAGAAAATACTTATGTAAAGTACAAGTACCTCAAAATCGTACTTGAGTAAATGTACTTAGTTACTATCCACCACTGTTCAGTTGCCAGTATATAAAGTACACCTAGCGTTACTCCAGTCTACTAAGAGAGACTGAGAGATGTGTTTCTAACATGTAGTCTTCCCAGTTCCCACACTTACAAGTTGACAATAATTGATAATTTACAACACCACTCCACCACAAACATGCTCCTGAGCTCCTCTTACTGTTGTGAAAGCGTGTTAGACATTGTAGGTAAAGCTTTAACACTGCGGGAAACCGGCTGACATATTTATTACATATGTATGCTGCAAGTGAATATATGAAAAAGGCAGATGTCACTGCTATTTTCCAAATCTGAGACTGTGTGTTAGGAGTTGTAAGCTTCTCTGGGATTGTCTGGTCTAGTTTTGTCAAGTCGAGGTAAAGCCTAGTGGTTTATGGTCTTGACCTGAACAGGTAGAGTCACGTTTTGGTAAATACCTTTTTAGAAAGTTGCGTAACTCAACTGTAAAGTAGACTTTGAAACCACGGGAAACAAACTTTAAAATAGTTATTAATGATTGAAATGATGCTTTATAATTAAGAAGTCTATCAACCAGCCTTCCATTTGATTGTAACCTTTATCTACATGCTTAATACCATAATATAATGTTTATGCCTTTGTACATGCCAAGAACATACTTTTTAAATGTGCTTTATACTTCTGTTTTACCTGTGTTACATCTTAAATGTAATGAAATGATTGATGGAGCTGCATTTGGTGTAAATGTCACTCTTCCTCACTTGACACTTTGCAAAGTGACTACCTTCTCTTTAGCAAGTAGTTGGAATAAAGACGGTTTGTAATGAGTCTCACAAATTAATTCACCTTTATTATATTTATTTATATCTCTTCACCCACCAAATACAACTCAAACTAATTGCTTAAAACCACTAGTGATGAGCAAGAAAATATATCTCCCATGATTTTGATTAGGCAGTCTTTAAACTAGTCTGGATGTTGAAGCAGTGAGCTGAGGTTGGCTGTTCGATTAGTCTGTGGGATAAATGCTTTATTATTAAACCTGGCTGTCGGAAACCAGTACGAACAAACTTTGCCATGATAAAAAGTTATTGTTAAAACAAATGTACATGTCTTCACCGAGTGTCTTCCCACTGCCAACTACAGTCGTCACTGTAACTAAACGCTTCTCCCAATCCTCTCCATTGTAAGATAATGATTGAGTCTTTCATAGCACAATTGAGAAACAATGCAATTCTCAAAAGAGTTGTGCTTCATGGCGTTTTATATTACTAATAAAGACACAATCTGCCTTTTGTGTCAGATTTCTAGCGCACCGTTACAAAATGTTATTTCTGCCTCAGCAGTAATGGACTCATTCTTCTTCTCTTCCCTTACAGTCCCAGTAGACCTCAGCCCAGAGGAGCGCTCTGAGCTGGAGGACATCCGCAGGAGGAAGGGCGTCCTGCTGCAGGAGATCCAGAGACTCCGGGAGGAACTACGAGAGGCCATTATGGAGGTGGAGGGACTGGAGACCAGCACAGAGGGCAGGTAGGAAGAAGAAGATGCTCAGTTCTTGCACAAGACAAATGACAAGAGCTGGCTTCTTGATCGCCAGAATGTGCGCATTTTTTTTATTCAGCATTCTCAAATACATTATCACTTACAATTATTTGTAGTTGTCCTAAAAGATAACAAATTTGTATTCACTTCAGATCACCATGTTCAGCTGGAGTCTTACCACCTTTTATTACCGTGTCAAAATGAAAGACTTTACGGCAGTCCCTGATGCTTTTTTCATCACCTTTTCAACTGTGTTCATCTTTTTTAATGCCTCCATATTGTTGCTCCTACAAGTGCTGTTGATCATTAGTTGACATTATAGTCTTGTCATTAATGGATATTAGTTCTTAATTAGGGGTGTAACGGTTCACAAACATTTCGGTTCGGTACGTACCTCGGTTTTTTGGTCACGGTTCGGTTCGGTACGTTTTCGGTACAGCAGAATTTTTTTTCACAAAACAAAACATATATATATATATTTGTTTTTATTATTATTAAACTGTGAATAATGTATTCACTCAAATAAATACAAAATATAATAAAATAAACATTAAGGTGCAGCATTTCGATGATCTGAAATAATCTGTATTTGAACTTTACTGTACTAGTACTCACAAAACATAAATTATTAGTTTTGGGTTTTTTATTTTTTATTAAACTGTGAATCTTCACTCAAAAAAATACAAAATAAAATAAACATTAAGGTGCAGCATTTCGATGAACTGAAATAATCTGTATTTGAACTGTACTGGTACCTGAGCAGCCAGTTTGACATTATGACTTGCTTGTCATTGTATTTTCATGTTTTTTTAAAGAACAATTAACTTGTCCACATTGCTTGCTGAAAGGGCAGATCTGCTGGCACTAACAATGTCTCCTGCTGTGGAGAACACCCTCTCTCTAGGGACAGAGGTAGCAGATACAGCCAGGTAGCGCTTTGCTAACATGGCAACATAAGGATACTTGGCGTTTGTAATAGCTTTGGCTCGGTCTGAACTCTCTGCGAGTGGTGGAGGCTTACATGCTAGTGGGAGTTGGGTTTGCACTTCAGTCTTTTTTCTTTTGGTACCGGTGATATTCACATTCGGGTGATGCCTTTTCAAGAGTGTGCAAGTTTGATGTATTGCCAGCCGCGTAACCAATTTTAGTTGAACAATGCCGACAAACAGCTTTGGTTCGGTCCACCTGTCTTTGTCTGTCATCCTTGTTCGTAACTGCGAAACCAAAATGTTCCCAAACCGGAGACTTCAATGATGCTGGAGGATTTTCAAGCTCAACTTTATCTGCGTTCGCCATTAATTTTCGACAGTTCCTCAAATTACTGACTAAATTTGAACGCATCCCTCTGACCAAGTATGCCTCTCATCCAATTAAATGACTTGCTCGCTCTATGACACGTTGAACCCAATGTGAGCAAATTACTCTGAATGCTGCGACGCAGCACCTGAGATTACTTCCAAAAAGTTGTTCACGTTCTCAATTTTTTTACGTCTAACGTTATATTCGTTCGGTACACTTCGGTACACACCTGTACCGAACCGAAGGGCCCGTACCGAATAATTTCGGTACGGGTACCGTTACACCCCTATTCTTAATACATTTTCTGGTTAAGAGTGGTCATTTTAGGTAAGCAATATGAAGGTATACGTAAAAGTAATTCAGTGAGAGCTTATGTTTTAATATATATATTTAATTTACTTTAAAAGAAAGGGACGTTATTTCAAATCAAATGGTCAAATGAATGCAATTAACAGCTTGAAGAAAAACTATGGTATTAATGCTAAGTGTATTAGGGTTAAGTAAGTATTGTGATCTTTAGTGATTTGTGTTGGAGATGTGATGTAAACACCGCAAAGGCTATTTTCTCTAACATTCAAAATGTCTGCTCTCGGCAGTAAAACTCTTCAGAAAAGCAGGCATGTGGCGATGGGAAGGAAGAAATTCAACATGGATCCCAAAAAGGTAAAGCTTCCATACTTCACATGTGGACTCAGACGTCCCTCTGTCTTTACTGTGTGGTGACAGGCCCCTCTCCCCTCTGCTGCAGGGCATCGTGTTCCTGGTGGAGAACGAGCTGATCAGACACACTCAGGAGGACGTCGCTCAGTTCCTCTACAAAGGAGAGGGCCTCAACAAGACTGCCATCGGAGATTACCTGGGAGAAAGGTGCTTGGCCTGGAAATATCTCTAGACTTTTTTTACCTAACGTAACAATCATTTGTAACTGTGATCTTTCTTTCTGTTCTGCAGGGACGACTTCAACCTCAAAGTTCTTCAGGCTTTCGTTGACCTCCATGAATTCACTGATCTCAACCTCGTCCAGGCCCTCAGGTAAACTTCCTGTTTTGAACCAGGGACAACATGTCTTGAATAGTCTCCTGGCACAATGGAAACTCTCATTGTCACTTAAGGTTAGAAAGGGTTACAATGATGCAAGAGAGAGCGGTATTAACTCTGCCTTGATGCCAAATATGTTCCCTCCGACTTGAGCTAAACCTGTTTCTGCAGACAGTTCCTGTGGAGTTTCCGTTTGCCCGGTGAAGCCCAGAAGATTGACAGAATGATGGAGGCCTTTGCTCAGAGATACTGCCACTGCAACCCCGGCGTCTTCCAGAGCACCGGTAAACTGGTTATTCTGCATTTCATCTGAGATGATCTGTTACCAACCTATTGTTGACTTCTCTATGTGTGGTTGGTATCTGCCGGCTTTAAAGAAAGTGCTATTTTCCTGTGATGGGTCACAGGAAGGGCACTGCCCAGAAGACGTGCACTCACACAAACAACAAGCCCCTTACCAGAAATGTCCTCATATGAAACCCTGCAGTCTGCCAATTCCTAAACCTCGCTTTTCAGTAAAAACATCTTGTATTTTCATTTATGATTTCCTTTAATTGGTTAAGAAGAGGTTTAGCAATGCCTGTCTTTTTGTTTTTAAGAAAAAAAATCATGGCAAGGCTCATAATGGTAGCAGTCCAAGCTTTTGTTGAGTTTGATCGAGTAGCTTTGAATGTCTGGTGTCTTTTTATGCCAGGATATACAGGAGTAGGCCTCCCTTGGGATTGGGAAGTTTGTGCATTTTGAAAGTGATTTCATCTTTCTCTTTTCAATACATTTTAACTTGGACTTTATTAAAAAAAGAATCCTACATAGCCACCACTGGAATCTATTTCTAAAAATAGTATAATACCATATTAGTGAAGCCTAATCCATCCTGCAATTGTGCAGAAATACAGGGACATGCAAAAAAAACATTCAAATAGTTATTTAGACTTTAAACTATTCACTAAAGCCCAAACCTGTTGTTTGTCTCTCTAATATTAATTTAAATATAGTAAATAATCACATGTTTTGTGTGGAACTAGAGTCTTATTCTCCTTCTTCTCCTGTTTACAGACACATGTTATGTGCTGTCATTTGCCATCATTATGCTGAACACAAGCCTCCACAACCCAAATGTGAGGGACAAACCCGGACTGGACCGCTTCATCTCGATGAACCGAGGCATCAACGAGGGGGGAGACCTCCCCGAGGACCTGCTCAGGGTACCAAGAGATCTACTTTTTGTTTTTTGGAAATGGCTAAGTTACAACACATTGAAGAGATTGAAGTGCGCTTACTTTACTTTTATCCTGTGTGTTGTTCCAGAATCTCTATGATAGCATTAAAAATGAGCCCTTCAAAATCCCAGAGGACGACGGCAACGACCTGACGCACACCTTCTTCAACCCGGACAGAGAGGGCTGGCTTCTCAAACTCGGTGAGATGATGCCAGGGAGGCTTTGTTGTGGACTACTTTATTTCATGCTGCCTTTTAACCCTGATCCTGTACAATTGAACAAATGGATTATATCAGTGTTACAGATATCAGAAGTATTTCCATTGTGAAAAGACAGTGCTATGTTCTGTATGTAGTGTACTTTGTTCTCTCTTGAGGCTTTGTGCTCTGATGACACGCCCTCCTGTCTCTGAGGGTTGCTGCTCTCTGCCTTATCTCTCAGTGTTGTGGCATTTGAACATTGCCGTAGCATGATGGTGAACAGGAGACTCACTTTCCTGCGTCATGGCAGTCTAAAAAGCTGATGTTTTCTTTTGCATGGCGGGGCCTGTGAACTCTGTCACTAATCAAATCTCTTTCTCTTCCTCGTCTGTCTCTCTCTTTCTCTATTTGTCCTCTGTCTCTAAATCCTCCGGTCCCTTTTTGTCTCTGCTTCTTCCCTGCGATTTCCACCCTCTACTGCCGCTGCTTGTTTTCTCAGGAGGTATGTACGGACAGTTGTTGTAGTTTGAAAACGTTAGCCACGTAGTTAGCTGTAAGACATTAGAAATAGTAGAATAATCCCAATTCAACTTTTCCCCCATGAAGGAAATCTTTTTCCCACTCGTGATCATAATGAGCATGTTTTTGTGTTTCAGGGGGACGCGTGAAAACCTGGAAACGACGATGGTTCATTCTCACAGACAACTGCCTTTATTACTTTGAATACACCACAGTAAGTTGGTGCAACACTTGAGGGAATCTGCCACTCCTTGTAGATGTATCTGGTGCAGGTCGTACAGGATGTTGCTGCTGTATTTGCATTGGGTTTTCTGAGGGGAAAAAGCAACAGGATCAGTTGCATTGTTGTCTTATCTTGCAATACAATCTGGTAGTGTCTACAGTTGCAAGGCTTCTGGAAAAATGTGATTGTTTTTTAAAGGTTATTTAAGGCCTACGGGTAAAATTGGGTATTCCCTTTGGCAATAATGTAATGTATCTAAAATGGGGTTATGTTACTGAACTCAAGGATTAAATGCACGACGGTGGTAATCCCCAGAAGACAAACTGGTTTGGTTCCACATTCATAATCGCAACAAAAGAGACGAGTCAGACTGGTCACGTGAGGCCACATTTCAAAGACCTGCTTTACAAAACACCAGGAAGACTCCAGTGTAGCTCAGGATACCAACTTGCTAAAGCTACAATTCAAACAATGAATACACAATTTGTCACTTACTGAAAGGCTGCTTTTAAGTTCTGCTTCTAAGAAAAAGATCAAATCACAAGGCAGATGCATGCATTCATTTGTTATGTCGGCTGTACATTTATTGACTTTCTTAGTGAAACGACAGGCATCGAAAATAAATGCAACTGTTAATGCAGAAAAATACACATTACAGGCATTTTAATGTTGTAACTCTTTTGCCAATAATCTGCTGTTATTGTGTGTTTCCCTAACAGGATAAGGAGCCACGAGGTATCATTCCTTTGGAAAACCTTAGCATCCGGGAGGTAGAAGACCCAAGGAAGCCTGTAAGTTTGAATGATTGCAGTCTAGGCAAATGTTGTTATCACATAGTTTCATAACTGTAGATTTCACAACAAACTGTAACTGTTTATCTAATTAATATTCTTTCATTTTTTACAAAAAGAACTGCTTTGAGCTGTACATCCCCAACAACCGTGGGCAGCTGATTAAGGCATGCAAGACGGAGGCTGATGGCAGGGTAGTAGAAGGAAACCACAATGTGTACCGTATCTCCGCCCCCGCACCGGAGGAGAAGGACGAATGGATCCACAGCATCAAGTATGGAAATGCAGAATATCATTATTGGAAAGGTTTGGGTAGCAGTAGACCAGTGAGAAAGTTTAACAAATCTTCTAATTCAAACCCATTAAAACCACAATTTTAAGATCTGCCTTTCGACGTAGAGCTCTGGCTTCCAAAGTGTCGTTTTTCAGGTTTCCCCAAGGGACTTTGCTGATGGGTCATTTATGTGATGCAATCAAAATCAATGTTGTTGCTAATCGCGGACATGTCTCAGATTTGAGAAAAAAATACCCCAAGTATTTGGTATACAGAAAATACTTGAGGTTTATTTGTTGTTGTTTTTAAAACTAGGAATTCATCGATATATATATTTGTAATGTCACTTTACGCCTTTATTGTCCTCTAAGGACATCAGAGCAACTCATTTAAAGTGAAGCACAAGGTGAGGCGCCCAATATTTTGTTTATGCCAAAGTAATTTGATGTAATTGTATTTTGATAATCCACTCGACTCAATAGTGTTTCTTTGTTGTTTGTTTGTTCCTACAGATCGGCTGTCAGTGTTGATCCCTTCTACGAAATGCTCGCTGCGAGGAAGAAACGTATATCACTGAAGAAGAAGGAGGAACAACCGTAGAGTATTCAACTCATTCTCTGTCCTTCTCATCCTCCTTCCAACAGGACACACATTCTCTTCCCTGCTCCTCACTACCTGTCCATAAGTTTAGTTAGTAGTTCCACCGTCCTCAAACACATCCTCTCCCTGATAAGAGGACTCCTTGATACCCTGTCTACCAGACTATTGAACACCTCCTTCAGAGTGAAGCGCACCCCGCCGTGGCTGCCTCTTGTTATCTCGTTTCTTACACTACTGCTGGTATACACACCCTGACACACTACAACCAGAGCACATCGTCCGTCCCGTCTTCTCACCGCTTCCCTCTCTCGTTCAGCATCTAAGTGATCTGTGCACTGGGCTTAGACCATATTCAGACTAATGTTGGTGATTTCAGAAACAAATCTTTCCTGTTTTCCAAAATGCAGGGATTTAAAAAGGCTATGATTGTTAAGATTTAGGGCATCCTGATTATTTTTTGGAAATCTTTTTTTCTCTATTTCCTCATAACTGCCTTGTTAGTGACAAACAAAACTTTTAAAAAACTGACAGCTGTTCAGCAGAACTATGTCAGGCCTCTGACTGAAGCAGCTTTCGTGCAGAAGAGGTTTAATATTTCTCTCTGTGCTCTGGCCTTTAAGAATACTCTCTGAAAATACAATGGTGACACAAAGCCTTCTATGTTTCTGACATCTGCATTAGTGTGAATACGGTCTTTTTCAGAGTAGCATCCGCTTCAGTTACCGTGGAGTGTTCTTTCACATTTATGATGACGCTGCCTAAATGAGAAATGGCCTTCCTTGGTTGTGTGCACCCCAGAAAAATGTGAATTCAATATTCAAATACTACAAATGTTTTTTTAGTTAAAGGACAGGTATGTAGGATTTGTGGTGGATCTATTAAGACAAGTGGAATATATTATTCACCTTTAGGTTTTCTTTAGTGTATAATCATCACTTATCTCGAAATCGTTAGCTTATAATGAGCGCGTCATATCTGCACAGGGTGCCGTCAGCTCTAGAGGGGGGCATCATGTTTTTCAGCTGGAATTTTGAGGCGCAACGTTGAAAGATGGAGATTAGGAAGACGAGGTTGTTGGTGCTGGCCAAACATTTGATGTATTAAGAAGTTTTGAGAACAGTAATGGAGGGTCATACTCATTATCTGGCACAAGAAAAAGCTAACAAGCGTGAATTATTGCCGCCAAGGAAGCAAAAACATAAAGAATGTGAACGCTAGATACCAATAAATCCTACACACTGGACCTTTGACGATAGTAAGAGAAGAATCCGTTTAAGTCAACGCAGCAAAAGATTTCAGATCACTGAGATGTGCCCATTGCTTCCTATACTACTCTTAATGGCTTTGACACGCACAGCTACCGTCTAAACCCTACATACTGTAACCCTTATGTGAGGGAAATGTCACTGTTCATGACTGTTTGCCAAGTTACTGTTGATTTTCAATTACAGGGCAGAAAGGTTGCTTTACTTGCAGTATTAATGGAGAAAGCAATTTCTCTCCTTCCAGATAGCTTTTTGTTTCAGCTCACTAAGACAAGATGTGGTGTTTAGCATGTTTATTTACATGCTTCAACAATAGCTGTAGGCTTGTTTACATTACATTGCGTTTAGCTGACGTTTTTAGCCAAAGCGACTTACAATAAGTTTACAAATCCTTAATAACACTTTACTGAGCAATGATCATGTCCTCTCAGATGTAATGTTCTAGCATGCCACACATATTTCTTTCCTGCTCAGCACTACAAGATGAACACGGACATCTCTCTCACAACAAGTAATAACTCTGTAAGACATTTAACTGTTAGAGCCTGGACTGTCCGCTATAGTGCATTTCATGAAGTCACAAAGGCAGCTCATTACAATGTATACTTTCTGTAAATAGATGTTAGCATATTTGTTTACGATACATATAGAAATGATTTTATTTATTCTTTATCTTTTGTTCAAATCTGATTTGTGTACGAGCTACTGTAAGACTGCATGTTGATAAACTGAACCGTCAGAGTAGGTACTGATGCATCGCTGATCATTCTAGTGCACTGATTTGAAAAGTGTTAGTGTTCCCTGTTAATACCGATAAATAGCTTTTTAATATTGAGGTTGTTTTAAGCATAGAGCTATTAGTCTTATCGTAGTTTCTTTTCTAAATGAGATGGTGTTAAAGAGATGTTTAGAAGTCTGGTTTATTTATTTTAGAGTAAACCAGACTGTGAAGCACAAGCAGCAAAGAGTCTCAAAAACTAAAGTCCAGTTTTTGACTCAATGGCTGCCCAGAGTCCACTTGAAGTGTGCGGGGGCTTCTCACAAGCTGGCATTTCCATCATACAACAGTAATTAAAATGAAGAGACAACAAAACAAGGAACACTAACAAAGCTTTGATTCATTATATAATAGTAAAGATATTCAGATGTAATGAATCAGTAACAAGTTTAGATTTGTGTCCAGTGATAGATTTGCTTGACATCCAGTTCATAAACGTATTGCTAGTTGTTTATTGAATTGGCCATTTTTAGAAGGTAGTGAAAATATTTGTCTACTGCACTTTATCAATTTTAGCATTTTGGAGAAAATGCTGTTACTTTGACTGACAACACTCCAATACTCTGTAGCACCCTCTACTGGTGATCTCACTGCAATATGCTGAAGGACGAACCATTAACTGTAGAAATTACATAATTTTAAGTTTTTTCTTTGTGATGACAACATGAAGACTTTGTTTTAAAGACACAGCTGGTGATTGGTCCTTCAAATAACAGATATTGAATTGCCTTTACTCTCCTACCTTATGAAACTGACAAAGGCCTAACTTTAATCCTCCATGTTTGTGTGCTAACAAAACACACAGACTATCTGTAGGCCTCGACCTTCTGGGTATTCTTGAAGTGCAAAGTTGCCAAAAAAAACAGTTGGGACAACAAATGTTTATTTAAACATTACAAATGAACACTGAAATGATCAGACTGAAACTGGGCCTCTTCAGGAAATGTTTATTTTGTATTATTTATTTTATTTACTGTTAAGTTGAAGATGGATAGATCATCTGTAAATGTAGCAAAAGGAAAACCATGATTAATTGGTACGAGTAAACTACTGTGTAAAAATAAAAGGTAAACCAAGATGATGTATTGCTGTTTTATTTTTTTGAAATGGGGGCGAGGGGTTGGTCTTTATATTTAATCTGCTAGGTCAACTTTATTTATGAACCCTGCATGATCTTGTAGAGCAGACCAGACCTATTCTTCAAATGTTAGGATGTGAAAACCTAAGACCAAGATGTTAAACATAGTTTTTAAAAAAAAAATCATCCTAAAAATCCACATGTCGGTGTTAAAGGTCCCATGACATCCTTTCCGGTTATTGCCCGTCCCCTTGTGTGTTATGTAGCTTTGTATGCATGTAAACGGTCTGCAAAGTCACAAACCCTCAAAGTACACCCTGTAGCGAGTAAAACTCTAACACAGAAGAGACCTCTCTATGATGACACAGAATGCCTCGTTGGAGATTTATCTTTTTCCATTGTTCTCTTCCGGGAACCAAGTGACGTAACTACGATCCAAATACACACACTCACACCCACTCACTCACACACACACACACACATACATTTTTCTCAGCCTGAGATAGCGGGACACGGCGAGGCCCGGTCCGAGGACACACACAGACCCACAGCCAGGCTGCGCCACGGGTGTGTGTGCTCGGGCCGGGCCTCGCCATGTCCCGCAGACCCCACGCAGCAACCAGGAAACAACACCAGCAGCAAGCCAGCTCACACTGTCCGCTCCAGCAGCGAGCCCCGCAACGTCCCGCCAACACGGCACCCAGACCCCACGCAGCATTCTCATCTGTTTCATTACTGGTGTCATGTTCTGGTTGCTAACGCGGACGCCATTGTAACACATAATCACTGATGTTCCGCTGTAACGGTGGTGGACTCTGTCACTACTATAACGGAAAATCCTTGTTTAGGAGTGATTGGCATGAGAGGGGTATTTTGTGTGTTAGTGATTTACTAGATTGCAATGGTAAACTGCTAGATGTTTTGGCTTTTTCAACGAAATACAATATAACGTGTACTGCTAAAGATTATAACAAAATCTGTAAAGCAATTCCTGTACCACTTATTGAAATGATTCATAATACTTTACTGTACTCAAATGTTGTATCAGTTTTACCTAGTTTGGAATTTATTGGCGATACTCTTAAGAATAATAAATCTATTAATGCTTCTTTGAAATCTCACAATTTGAACAGAGGCTTATTTCCACAAGGGACCGATTTAGACACTTTATCTGTAATGGAAAAAGCTCTATCTTATTTTATAAAATGGCCTATTTCTCCTAAAGCAAAAGAAACTCATTTTAAAATTGTTCATAAAATCTACCCGGTTTCTACTTTTTTAAATTCAAGATTTAAATTTGAAGTGGAACCATGTTCCTTTTGTAATTTATCTGATGAATCGTTGGAACATTTATTAGATCTCAGTGCTGCGTTTGACACTGTTGACCACAGCATATTACTAGACCGACTGGAAAACTGGGTGGGACTTTCGGAAACAGTTCTAAATTGGTTTTGAATCCTATTTAAAGGACAGAAACAACTTTGTTTCTATAGGTAAATACACATCTGAGTTGACAAATATGACATGTGGGGTTCCTCAAGGCTCCATCTTGGGGCCTCTTCTTTTTAACATCTACATGCTACCACTGGCTCAGATAATGAAAAACAACAAAATAAGTTACCATAGCTATGCGGATGACACACACATTTACGTAACAATTTCACCAGGAGACTATGCTTCAATTCAAACACTGAGTAAGTGCATTGAACAAATCAATGACTGGATGTGTCAGAACTTTCTCCAATTAAACAAAGATAAAACTGAGGTAATGGTTTTTGGAGCCAAGGCAGAACGTATAAAAGTTAGCGCTGAGCTTCAGTCTGCAATGTTCAAAACAACAGATAAAGCCAGAAATCTAGGTGTAGTCATGGACTCTGACCTGAGTTTCAACAGTCACATTAAAACAATTACTAAATCAGCCTACTATCACCTAAAGAATATATCTAGGATTAAAAAACTAATGTCACAGCAGGATTTGGAAAAACTTGTCCATGCTTTTATCTTCAGTAGACTGGACTACTGCAATGGTGTCTTTACAGGTCTCACTAAAAAATCTATTAGAAAGCTGCAGCTGATTCAGAACGCCGCTGCTCGAGTCCTCACTAACACTAAGAAAGTGGATCACATCACTCCTGTTCTGAAGTCTTTACACTGGCTTCCTGTGTGTCAAAGAATAGATTTCAAAATACTGCTGCTGCTTTATAAAGCACTCAATGGTTTAGGCCCAAAATACATTTCTGACCTCCTGCTAAATTATGAACCATCCAGATCTCTCAGGTCTTCAGGGACTGGTCAGCTTTCTGTCCCCAGAGTCAGAACTAAACATGGTAAAGCAGCGTTCAGTTATTATGATCCAAATATCTGGAACAAACTCCCAGAAACCTGCAGGTCCGCTGCAACTCTGACTACTTTTAAATCCAGGCTGAAGACTTTTCTTTTTGTCGCTGCTTTTAATTGAACTATTCATATCTTAGACTGCACTGTAACTTTTATCACTGTAACTTTTATCCATGTATTTTTTCTTTTAATGTTTCTTTTATTAGCTTTTCTTTTTAATGACTGATTTTAAATGCCATTTTCTTAATGTCTTTCATTTTTTGTAAAGCACTTTGAATTGCCTTGTGTTGAAAAGTGCTATATAAATAAACTTGCCTTGCCTTGCCTTGCCTTATAAAAAAAAAAAGACTGTCACTACCCGATATGCAGTGCGCATGTGCGAGATGGTCCGCCATATTGGACAACTCCGGACGGCAACCCAAGAAGGACACTTGAGTGGCTTTTGGCAAAGCTCAAAAAGAAAACTCGAGAGAGATGAGTTATTGTTATTACAACGTGACTTCACTATTATTTAACAACTCTTTGTATTGGGTTCTTTTATTTGGGGTTAAGTACATTGTCAGAATAAGTGAGAAATGAATGTAGCTATCATACTGAACAAAATATTTACTGTGAATGTATGCAAACATGTATGGCATATAGCTGTCTAACAACCCGTTTAGGACAGAGTGAATAGTGGCGAAGTCACGCCCACCTACTTCCGCACCATGGGACCTTATAGAGAGGCGAAGTCTCTCCCCTTCCGGTGGGACTCATGGGACCTAATTTCGGAAAAAAGTTTGTATTGAAGTCAATGGAGAGAGAAAGATTATCTTTTGATCCCGTTTGAATTGTGCCACGAATTACACATATGGACCATATTGGTCTGACACATTGCAGCCATTTTGTTAAAATTGTAGTGTTTTCTCCAAATTGTCACTGGTGTTATCTTCTTCCTGGTAACACGTAACACCAGTGACATTCCTATGTAAATAAGCATTGTATAATAATAATAAAAATACTTTAAGCTCTAGCCTACTTGTTGTGGATTCATCAAGTTAAGAGTTAGTTATTATTCAACAGGTTTTTAGATGTGTTTAGAAGGAATATATTTCAGCAGATTTGTATCACCCAGATTCCACCTTTTCTGTAGAATGACCCAGCTACAGTAAACCTTCTCTTACTCTGGCATCTTGTGGCAACTCCCGTTGAGCAGCAGCAGATGCCTCGGCAAGTTGTGGCATCTGTGGCATATGCCGGAAGTATTTGCCACTGCCTGCAGATGCCACGAAATGCGCTTGCTGTCTCTCTATTTATCCAACGGCACTGCTGTGTGGTCGAAGTACAACGAAGCGAACTTTCGCTTACCGTTATTCGCGCGAAATGTGATCGCCTGGCCGAACAGTCGTCACGTCTCTTGGAGGGCGACCTAAACACACGATATCGCCAACATTTGAGACGATAATTATAAACTTGCCCGCTACTTACACCAATTGTTTATTTGAGAATTTGATTTAATGTCTTGGTTCAGCTTAAACTTGGATTCTATGACTCCATTTCTCACCAAAAAGCCGGTGCTCCGTGATACCTACGCGCGCACTTCCACTTCCATCAATCTGGTAAATGTGCCCTTACTGTGTCTGAGTGGAGCCTTGGGAGTTAAGTAGTTTATTGGGTTAGTTAAATCATAGAGTATTAGGTACTGGCTTTATCAGTCAATGGTCTGGATGCTATTTAAGTTGAATATGTTTACCAGTTTTGTGTCAAGATTGAGATGTATGTTCACAAATATGAGGAGCTGTTTTTCAGACTTTTATTGACACTGTCATAACATTTAAAAAAAACACATCCACAACGTAACATCAAAATCTAACGGCCTAAATGTTCTATTTACAGTACATTAACAAATATACATTCAAGGCAAGACCATTCAAGAAAAGCCGCAGTGCAATGATTTGATCACACAACGTACACAATTTAAAAATTATTAATACACATTTTTGGGAGAACAATAAATAAACGTTAGTGATTTGTTCAGTGAACAAACGGGTGCATTTAAAACAAAAATGCTAGCCGGTCCAAGACTGTAAGACACAATCAGTCTGACAGGCTATTCCGTTTTTCTCCCCCATCCCAAACAACTACATCACATTGATTTTGTTTTATTAAAATCTCTAACTTAAATTAATTATATTTCTTTGGTACAGTAGCTGTATATTTGTGGAGACCTTTAAAAAAAGGAACATCCAGATTACAAGTTGATTTTATAACACATTTCTATGAGTCTATGATTATAATGAACAGCGGAACGTTGGATGTATTCTTCATCACCATAACCCTGACCTAAATACGGTGCTTTTCTACAGATTACTTTATTACTGCACTGGTAAGGTAAAATTAGGCCGATTAATAAGATGTGAAGTGCTTTGTAACTTTGACCCGCTTGACTGAATACACAACAAACAATGAAGAAAGAGTTTTATCTGGGCTGCTTCGCTGCCAGCTGCTCCCTCGGGACCCGAAAGTGGCGTAGGCTATAGCCTGCACTTCAACATCAACGAAAGTGCTCGATATATGCTATATTGAACCAATAACACAAACTAACTGTATCACTATAACATGATGATGATGATGATGGTGATGAAGAATGCATCTAACGTTCCACTGTTCATTATAATACAAAAACAGAGCATTAAACAAACCATCATGCTTACTTTGAAATCATGCGGAAATGTCGCCGTCAGCCGGCCATCACGTGGTTTCCGAAAATAACCGAGTGACACGAGTAGATTTTAGCCGAGACCGGCGGAAAATATGTCTCAAAATTCCGTGTGTGTAAAAAGACGATCCGCGAACAGAGATTTGAGATCCGCAAGCGCATTTTTGGTCCACAAATACAAAATGGATTCACAAATGCCTGATCGAAAGGTGTAAATGTTAAAGAGAAATTCACAGATCTTTTTTTTAATTTGTGAACATATTTAGCGTATTTGCAGATCCGTTTTACACTTGCAAATGTATTTGTGAGTTTGCAAATCTTTTAAATGCATTTGTGGATGTTGTTTTACATTTACAAATCACATATTTACACACAAATTATTTTTATGTTCACACAAATAATTTTGAGACATATCTATGCCCATACGTACAATCTAAACAAACATTTCAAACTGTCACCAAAACCCATAAGGTCATCTGATTTGATCATAGACCCTACAGTATTAAGACTTTTTCAGGATATGACAATATGTCACATACAGCACCTGTTTGTTTAAAATAAAACACTAGCTAGTCGCTCATGATTAAAGAGGAGGCAAAAACCTAAGGCCCAGGATCACTACAAAGTCTCTGTAAACACAGATTAGATTTATTGTTATTTTTAAATAAAAAGTCACTGATTAAGTTTAAAGGAAGGCATTCAGTTGGTGCCACTATTAATCATCCTCAAAATAACTGAAAGTCAGTGGGAGATTTCTTATTCTTGCACCTTTTGATGAATGATAAATATTGTACATTTCAGGATATCTCTTCAAGTACTTCACTGGTGTTATGGCCTTTCAGTGACAGGGTCAAAAGGGTATTTAGCGACGCCTCCATGAAGCTCCACCTCTGTCTCGGACCAAGCGATGACGTCTCCTTTGAGGTCGCTGCCACATGAGGCCAGGCTGTAGATGTCACTGGGAGGCAGGACATGTGACCACAAATGTAGGTCTGACATCTCTCCCACAAAAGACTGAGTGGCATCAAAACGGCCTCCCAGAATATCCTGAAGAAGAGAGAAAGAACAGTCAAAGTTAACACGAATCATTGCTTTCCAAAATTGGTATTAAAATATTACTTCTGTTGTGCCAGACCAAAACAGAAGTAATCATCAGGCCCATTTCTTAGATCAGATATATAAGATATATATTGTAGTATGATGGTCACTTTACTCAACGTCGCTGGCTCGTGCTAGCTGCTTTTATTGGAAAGGAGTGGACAACACTGCATTTTGTTAACCGCAGCTTTGTGCCGTAAATCAGGCCAAAAATGTTGCTCGTACGTACAGAGAGGCTTTTAGGTTATATCTGAATGCAGATTGTGTCATTATTTTAAAACCAGTGCATATGGTTTTATAAATTAAAGCACACTTGTATTTCCACTTGAAAATGGAACACACTAGATGTTCTCCCATGCATTCAATGCCTCCCTTCTTGCATTGTGTATCGACAGAGGATGAAGCTTTACCTGTTCCTGTCCCAGGATGAAGACTCCTCCAGCTTTGATCGGGTGCCAGGGGGAAAGGTTTGTCCCGGACCCCCTCTGTTCTCCGTCCTGGTAGGCCTCCCACTGCCCATCCCTTGTGGACCAAGTCACACAAATGTGATGCCACTCCCCATCACCCAATGACAGGGGGAGCGTCAAGGCCTGTGGTTGAGAGAGTGAAGGTGGTGAGACACTTATACAAATACATCCAGTAGAAATAACAATACGTTCAGAAAGAAAATATATAAAATAAGCCCTCCCCTTTTAGCTCCACAAGTCAACTACCATCTACTTCCATCAGAAGTCACGATAAGGTTCAACCATTATTAACTGTAATTTGATCTGATTTGAGTTACACTGACCAACCCAACAACCAACTATAATCAGACGAATCCTGGAGCATTTACAAAACACAATTTTCTGACTGAATCCGGTCCATTTCGAACGACTTTGATGAGAGAACAGAAAAAGAAATACAGAAATATCTGTAAAAACTGTGTAGATGTTTTCTCTCTCACCTTGTCATCAATCAGCAGCTCCATGGGGTTGTCCCCCCACTCAATGAGCACTATTTCATTAGCCTGTCCTGGTGCTGAGTAAGAGAAGGGCGTCCCCAGGGTCTGCCCGGCGCCCGCCTTGATCCAGAGACACAACGTCATGGCGAAGATCTCCTGCATCAGCGTCGTCTTCACCTGCCCGTACATGTAGTTGGTTCTCATGGGGAAGCTGATTTGGAAACCTTCGAGATTAAAAGAGTTGTCCCTGCTGTGACCTGTTGTTGAAGACAAATAACATCATTCAATGACAACAATCATTAAGTAACTGGAGCTTTTGATCATGTCTCCTGAGCACTTCCACTGTAGAGTTTGCCCAGTTGTTATTCCTACCTACGCTGTAAAATGTATTATCTCTTCGATTTACACACGGCATCTATTGCACGTCTGTCCGTCCTGAGAGAGGGATCCCTCCTCTGTTGCTCTCCCTGAGGTTTCTCCCATTTTCCCCTTTAAACTGTGGGTTTTTTCTCCGGAAGTGTTTCCTTGTACGAAGTGAGGGTCTAAGGATAGAGGGTGTCGTTTTCTCATACTGATATTCTGAACAATCTGTGCTGTTGTATTTGCTGTAAAGTGTCTTTCCTGTAGGGTATTTTTTATTATATGTACAGCACTTTGGCTCGACCAAAAATCGTTTAAAAATGTGCTATATAAATAAAACTTGATTTGATTTGATTCAAATGTATTGTGGTTAGATGTTTAAACTGTAAGCAGTTTAAGTTAATCAAACTCATGTTGGCTTAAAATGTTTGAGTATGCCATAAAACAACAGGGGACAAAACAATCTAAGGTCTCAAACGTCCATTTAGTAGCTGTTCTGGAGCTTTTTCATCATCATTTTTGTTGCCACTGGCTGTTACCGAGGTAAAGAAGGTACTTTAAAAATCTATTCCCCTCACGGAGTTATAATTCCTTAGTTTTTTCAGAGAGGACTATTTTTTTTTATCTGATTGTTTAATGTTGAAGTAGGTAGTAGACCTGCTCAAGGTCACAGTATTAGACGTTAAAGGTGTTAATTGAGCCACCCCTAACCAAATGACATCATATATTTTTCATCTTATTTTTTTTCCGAACATACTCAGCTGCCGAACACGTCACTTACACAACTTTTACCAAATGCTGCTTTATTAATAAAAACATGTCTGTCATAAATGACTGCATGTTATTCAGTGTGTGTACCTGGGAGGTGCAGCTTGCTGAGCATTGTTTCCAGTTTATTTGAGTGGAAACCAGTCTGTGGCCCTGTGTGTGTATGATAACTGTGACTGTCTGCTTCATTACTATGGTGGTCTTCATCATCATCGTCATCATCGTCATCATGGTGCCCTTCATCGTAGTCGTCATGGTCACTGTCCACATCGTGATGGTCTGTATGGCGACTGCTGGCCCTGTGGTCGTTCTTGTGGTCATCGTTGTGGTGGTCGTCGTGGTGGTCGTCGTGGCGGTCGTCGTGGCGGTCGTCGTGGCGGTCGTCGTGGCGGTCATCGTGGTGTTCGTCGTGGTGTTCGTCTGAATGGTGATGGTCGTCTGAATGGTGATGGTCTTTGTCGTCTCTGTGGGTGCTGTCGTCATCATGGTGGTCATGGCTGCTGAGGGCGGAGGTGTGACGGCGCAGCTGCTGCTCCAGAGCGTTGATCTTCCTCTGGAGAAGCTCCTTCAGAGAGCTGGAGTAGGCCACAGACGTGTTCCTCTTCTGGAGGTGAAGAACACACAGGTGAAGACGTGATAACAACACACTTCCTGTCACGTAAATCCTTTACTTCCTGCTTACACAATAATGAGTTGGCCTGTTACCTTAAAGTCTAAGAGAGTCATTTTGTGTGTTTTGCTTTTCTTTCCCTGAACCCTTTAATGTCAGCTGCAGTAGTCAGGTATTCATTGTCTCCTCCTGTATATCAATATTCCAATTACTTGTATATAGACTATTTTGCACTATTTCTATTCTATTATATATATATTTTATTTACTTGCACTATTATCTGTTTTATTGTTGTTGCACTGTTGGAGGAGCCTGTGACCTAAGATTGTCATTGTCATAACTATACTGTAGCTATGCACAAATGACAATAAAAGCCTTGCATCTTGAATTTACTTTTCTTCCTCTCAGGTAATCTGGGCTTTTTCGTGGCACATGCCCTGATTAACAACCTGTCAGGGGAGATCAAGATAAGCACTACTGATGTAAGACTCGTGCCAACCCCCCCTGTACACACTCCACAGCTCCTGGCATCTGTCTGTGGTCACCATCCATGGAAGAGTGCTAAAGGATGATACATCTACCAGGTGAGTAGATAAAGAGACAACCTGAACTTAAATGTGCCCAGCTAATCCATGTAACCTTTAGCAAGAGTCTCTCACATCAGTGACGAACATACCTGAGCCTGTTGCTGCTCCGAGGTGCCAACTGACGGACATCACAGTGACCCTCTTGCTCTTTACGCAATCAAGTATTACATATTTCCTTTCTCTAAAGAAGTAAGTGCACATACTACTGGGACTTGATTATTCGTAAATGCAATCCGTTGATGTTACCTTTGATATGTCCAAACAAGCAAAAGAACAAGTTATCACTACACATCATAAACCTCCCCCTACATCCTTTTATCAACTGTAGTGTACATACTTTAACACAATATTTCTTGAATGCACTTTCATCTGTCTTTCCTTCTCTATTTCTTTCTTTCTGTTTTACTTTCTATATATATTCCTCTCCTTTTGTCTTATTTCTAGCTGTCTTTCTACGTGTGTTATTTCAGAGTACAAATCTGAAGAAGTTTCCTCCTCTCGCTGCTCACCTGCAGATTGTCCAGCCTGTCCTTCAGCGCCTGCAGCATCCTCTCCATCTGCTCTGGGGACGATGTTATGTCCCCCGGTCTCACATGTTTATCCTTCCCCTGGTGGTCGCTGTGCCCCCCATCAGATCGCTGCCCCCCCATGGATGGGTAGTGCGGTGAGTCTGGTATAAGGTTTTCATGGGGACCTTGCTGGTTGCTATAGTGCCCGTTGTCAGTGTACGTGTGATGACTGTTCGCCCCTGTGTGACGGGGGTCTGAGCCGTGGTGCTCGTCGTGAGGCGTGAGGCCCCGTCCGAGACCCTCACACAGGCTGAGCTTGGCCGTCAGCTCTCTGATGGTCTCCCTCTGGTCCAGGATGGTCTCTTTCTGCTGCAGGAGGCTCTCCCTGAGGTGCAGGATGGTGGCTTTCGCCTCATCGCTCGCCCCCCACCAGCCAGCAGGGGGTACACTTTGATGTCCTGGCCCTACACCAGGACCCCCCATGGGGAAGCATGCAGGGTCTGCGTCCACGGGAATAGGGGTGCAGATGAAGCGCGGGTGGGCTCCGAAGTCAGGCCCTGAGCTTGCAGACGCAGGGCAGAGGATAAGGGAAATGAAATATATCAAAATGGGAACAAGCAACAGGTGTCGGGACCGGGACTTCCTCATTATCTCCATCCAAAGTTCAGCCAGGAAGACTAAGGAGCTTGGCTTCACTTCACAATGTGCGACGTACGTGGAGGTCAAGGTTGTCTTGACTTCATGGTAGTTGGAAAGGAGACATCAGGAAGCCCGATAACAAAGCATCCACTCATCTGACAAACAAATGGAAATCACAGCTTTGTCTTTTATATTCTTTGTCGCGTGATATAATGATTTAATCCTGGATCTTGGCTTGTTTCTCTCCCTCCGGCTCTGAGGAATGCAGTAAACCTGTAAAACACAGAAAGACAGATTTTAAAAGAAGGTCTTTAGTAACACAAGGGGAGGACACAATAATAAAATCACCTTTACATTAGGGAAGCTTTTTGTTAAGACTCTGTCACAGTAGTGTTGATTCAGCTCTGATTAAACGTGTTTGCTGTTTGTGGCGTTTACCATATGTTTGTTCCAGTGCTATATATTTGTATCTACAAGTCTACAGTCATTAGCTTCACATGTTTTTGCTGATTTAGTTAGCATCATAGTGAAATTAAAAACATACTCTATTGAGTGAAATAAAAAATGTGAGAGGTATCATTTACATATAATGTTCTCTCTCACATTCATTTCTACCCTCTGGCCTTTATTTACCAATTCTGCTTGTTCAGAAATGCAGTGAATAAGCCTCAATGACCGTAATGACACTTTGAGAGCAGGCTGACCAGTGCTCAGCAGGATGGAGGATGACCTCCTCAGCTGCGTCTGTCTGACCAGTCAACTCACATGGCACGGAGGATTAGTCCAAATCACAAGTGTGACGTCCTAAATTAACCAGACGACGAGACATTTGTTGTCCTCTTTTAGTTTAAATGAATGTGATGTACTTAGTTTCTTGAAGCCCTAATTAAGCCTGCAGGGACACATTCAATCTTTTGTATAGACTTGAACTTTAATGTTTAAGAGTAAAAAAACGAACAGTTTATTGTTTAAAGTCTGGATCCCAAACGATCCCCAAACCCTAACATGGAGTATTATTTTTCCTGTCTCTATATCACAAAGGCTCACTGACCCTCTGAGCGATGTAGCATGTCCTTCATTATACAGGGTCGGCATTTCGAAATGGCACACACGTGATGTGGCAGCTAAACCTCCCAGACCACCTGTTGCTCGCAGTGACCAGCCTACACAATGTGTGTGTGTGTGTGTGTGTGTGTGTGTGTGTGTGTGTGTGTGTGTGTGTGTGTGTGTGTGTGTGTGTGTGTTGATAGTTCATACATGATTCACTGCACTATATCAATAATAAAACAGGGTGAACTACATACAGACATAGTCTGTTGTGTAAAAATGATCACCACTGCCTTCATTATACCAAGTAAGTTAAATGCAAAACAATTATTGAGCTGCAAAACAGGAAAAACAATTCCTTATTTATTTTTAATTGAGAAGGAATTTTTACTAACGTGTCTTATCAGTAAAAAGGAGTAACAACCCCTGAACTAAAAGGTGTTTTTCTGTCTCTGCAGACCCTGCTGTGATTTACGGGGCTTAGAGGACAGACAGATGGTCGATGTACAGAAACGTTTCACACCCAATCACCACAGTTTAGCCGTGACCTTATGCCCAGAGGTCACTTAATTAACCTAATTGCCAACAGTTGTTGTGCTACCTTAGCCAGAGATAAGTGGGCTCGCATGCTTTAGTGCGTGCGTGTCTGTGTACGGGTGTGTGTGTGTGCATTGGTGAGATAATCCATGGTGAACCCTGTGGTCGTGCACCATATGCTCAAGGTGGATTTAAGTAGTGAGATTAATCCCAAATTGCAAACTGACAACAGAAGTTAGATCTGTGAATAAAAAACATCGGACTCTGAGAAAGAAAATATGGAAGTCTCTACTGGTAAACAGATGATTTCTTGACAGAGAATGGATCTGGCGTTAAAACTATAAACATCCCAGTGCATTACAAGATCAATGTCAATATCATTTTCTCGGGCAAGTGGCTCGCACAAAATGTGTTGAGACACAAAATAGATCAAAGTTTAGAAAAGGCTTCTTCAGTGTAAATCCCACAGTTTAAATGCAGAGTGCTGCTGCTTTGTTTACTTGCCAGGCTTTCTGGTGTTAGATGAGGTCAAACATGTTTTACTTAAACCTGCAAGATGCGTCCTTAGCTTACAATCCATATATAAATTATATTTTCACCATTGTTATATCATTGTAAAATGTTTTATATTTTGCATGGCTAATGTGTTAAATACTCTGTTAAATGTACATTTATTTATATAAATCAAGAAGTTACATGTAGAATAAACTGCTAAAATAATGTCAGACGGAATATTGATTATCAGAACCATTTTTTTTGGGTCTAAATTAGCATTTTTAACCAAAAAATGTTGGATAAAACTGGCTTTTTCATTTTTCTAATGAAACTTCGTAAGACTTTTATCCCTTCCTCCCACCCTCTTATTCACTCTCATGGTCAGCTCCAATTTTTAAGACAGTGAATGATTTTCTGATTTACGTGTTATTGTGAACTCTGCAGCCGATGTTTCTAAAACATCCATTAAACTAAATATATTATATTGTAATTAATTTTAATCCATTAATTTCCCTCAAAAGAAACACTTGGGAACATAGAATATATATATATAACACATATTCCTATAGTTTACACCGATATTAGAGTTGAATAAACCCAAATTAATTTCCTTGCAAGGATCCATTGTCCCACTGACCTTGTTTTCGAGGAATATGTTTTCCCAATTTAGTGAACACATTTCGGACAAAGGTTCGTACAACGTACAACCATGTCATTGAGGACGTCTTGACTGGCTCTACGTTTTTTTGACTAAAAATGAATAAATAAATAAACTAAAATGCTTTTAGTAACTGACATCAATAAATCAATTTGTTGTTACATGTTATATTTTAATGATCAACTATTTATTATTTTTTATGTTTTAACAATATGTCCAAATCGTTTTCTAAAAAAAAAGGTCAATGTTTCTTTGCATCTGAATGGTAAAAGGTTAAAGCAGAGCCACACTTTGGCTCTTAACTGGCCTCTTTACTTTTTCAATATTTGAATAAAAGAAGAGTTAAATGAACATTGTGAAAGCGTTCTTACCTCAGAGTCCTTGAGCCTGCAGCTGTGTCTCCCCTCTGCAGAGTCTGATCAGATTAATAGAGCTTTACAAGAGTGGAGAGCTCAACTCCTTTTATCCCTCCTTCATTGTCTCTACCTCCCACTTTGCTCTCCTCCCCTCTTTTAGCTTGTGTTTCTCTTGGAAGACCACTCCTCTTTTATTGCTGAGTCTTAGACATCAGTGCCATCTTCATATTTATTCTATTAATGTGGATTTCTGACTTTATTGAATATAACTATATGATAGCCTACATTAACACTGACTTACTGACCTCAGATCCTCTGTACCAGGAATCTCTAATTGGTCTTTTTAATTCCTCGTGTCCACCGGTCTGACTGAGGGCCAAAGAGGCAAAGGCAGGACAGCAGATGGCTGATTTAAGGTCAGAAAATCACTAGACAAATAAACTATGGATCCAGCTTGTTGATTACATTAAAATAAAAAAATAGATTAGATTAATCAATGTTTCAATTAATTAAATGTCCACTCAAGGGACTAATTAGGATCTTACTTTTTAGAAAGCTGTTTCAAAAAGTATCTGGCACATTTACATAATAACACAACTACAAATACAACACAATTTAAACTTACACTTTTTACGCTATTATTTTTAAATGGCTGGCAGTGTTTGATTAGATCTTAAACTGCCTTTAGAGCTAACATTTAGTTGTCAATTTAAAATTCCGATATGAACAAAGTGACAAAAACTAGAACTATGAGCAGTTGAACAAAGTGACATTGAGTAAACCAACCTGATTACAAGAGATCCAGATTCTGACAAATACTGAATAACAGGTTACATAAAACGTGAAAAGTGTGAGGAGTCCAATGTGTCCCCTGGATCTGTTACTATACTCTGTCTCTGCCTCTTCATGTATAACGAAAACATTTCCTGGATTTAATTTTGATGTATTGCTTTGCAGATATCAAAAAGGCAGTCCAATGCATTTGACATATTATTAACATAATGTATATAAATAGTATGCATGTGAGCTGTGCTGAATGTTTAATTGATTGCCTTTAAGTCTTAGTGGTGTATGACCATTCCTACCTGGCATTGTTGGTCTCAAAGAGACAGTTTGATCTTTGTAGTAATAACTAAGATGGTACTGATATAGTACAGTGATACTTTAAAGCCTGCACTTGTTGCACCACCAGCTGTGGATGTTCAGGTTTCTGCAGGGGAAGTGCAGCAGGAAGTGATGTCACACATCGCCCCCACCTGGGAGAAACCTGCAACTGCAAAGAAACACAGCTTCAGTCCGACACCTGAATGTCAATAGATTTTTATTTTTGGGCCCTTTATACAATGCACAGTTTTGAAGCACATGGCTAGATTGATCTGAGACCACTCCACCATATTAAAGGGAAAAATACTCTGCTCCACTATAATAAATACACAGTAATAGTCAGTATTGACACTTGATGATTGGACTCACATGCAAACAATTCAACACAATGTTGAAATGTTATTATTCCAAGAGTTTTGAATAGCCAACAGCAAGAGTTCATTTTTTATGAAAAATATTTCTTCACAATGACAATTTCTACTGCCTTTATTTGTTATTTTGTACATTTAACAAGAAATGTGAAGGCGGTAGCTTGCTCTTCACAGCTTTTTTTGTAATTATTTCATAGTTTGCCGGTGTCTTCTCTCCGGCAGCAGCTTGTATCCGTAGAATCAAGGCACAGACAGTAAGTGAAGTGGATTCACTTTTAAGTTTTTCTATTTTAAATACTGTTATTATTATGCTACCTCAATCTCCATCTGTCAAATAACTATATAATAATGCAATAAAAAGTACAAAATGTCACACTAATCATTGTTAAGTGGAATAATAACATGACAATCACACACAAGTGCAATGCTACTTTTAGAAACACTAGGTCATGACCTTTTGTATTCATATTTGTATGTACTATTATTAGGTTTTAAACACACTCAGTGCATTTTCTTTTTGTATAAAGTGATTTAATTTAATTATTGAAGCATGAATGTATAGCATCACTTTAAAATTGCAGCTAATAAATGTGGGGTTCATTTTAATCACTTCAGAAACTGTTGTCACTTAACTTAACAACACATCATCAATTATTAGGAAATGTATATTAATATTTCGAATCTGCAAAGTTAATAAACATGTCAAGTGAATATAATGGAGTGAGTGACACATTTATTTTTCTTTTAAGTAAATATTAGAAGTATAAAGAGCATAACATATGTTCAATATTGTAATTTAGTTCAGTACTCGAGTAAATGCATTAACTCCCCACTGACCCTGACACTTTAACTTCTCCTCTCCAGCACCTCTATTTGTTACATTAGCCTTTAATCTTCCCAGCAGCTTCCTGCAGTAACTAAAGAGCTGTGCAGGCCCCGTCCTCCTCCTCTTCCTCCCCCTGTGTCCCCCCTGTGAGAATGGGCAGCAGCCCTATGTGTGATGGTCCTGGTGAATGTAGGCCAGTGGTAGGCCTGTTCTGTCTTTGGCTTAAAAAAGTTCAAGTCATTATTCTCCTCCTGCTCCCATTCATCCGGGGTCCCGTTGGCTCATTGTTATTCCGCCCGAGTGACAGAGAGAGGGAGACACAGAAAGGGAGACACAGAAAGGGAGGCTGACGGAGGAGCTGGTTGCACTGGGCGGGGGTTTCACTCGCTGCGTTTTCTGTCCGGTTTTTCTGCGGGCGTGAAGGCATGTTGATAATCGGCTCAGTAATGAGGAGAGGTACTGAACGGCACCAAATACCTGACCCCGATTCCCGGGAGTAGAGAGAGGCAGAGAGAGGGAGAAAGTGTGAGAGAGAGGAGGGAAGAGAGGCAATGGCATGTGAAAAAGGGGTGGAGGGGAGATTTACTGCCTTGCTGGATGAAACAACCCCCCACTAACTAACGGAGAGGGAAAGTCGCCTATTGGGAAGAAAAGCGGGGGTGTTGTACCGTGCATTTAACGCTCAAAGACGCGCAGGAAGCCTTTATCGTTTCCCACAATGAGTTCAGAAAAGGTATGTAACTTTTATTTATTTTTAAGTAGCCGAATTATGTGTTACTGTTTTACAAATTGGAAGTGGAGCTGAGAGATCAACAGGTAGCAGCTGCACTGTGGAGGCAAATGACAGGGTGCTTTTTCTACTCAGGAAAAAACATTACCCGTTGTATTTATTCGTGTTTAAATGCAACACATTGCTGGACTTTTTTTTGTGTAGTTGTTTTTTCCTCACTAATTGAGTTGATGAAATGAGATGGAGTGGAAGAAACGGATCAGTACTGGTTAAGATGCAATGCTGCACCATTAACTGATCTTTGGATACATGCAATACATAAATTGATCAGTTTCTGAAAGCCACAAAACTGGACAAGAAACATTTAATACCATAACAAATGCAAAGTTATTTTGCATGCATGGGTCCTTTAAATACAGTTTTGTTTTTGGTTCAGCCAGTTCTTGGTAATTAAAATGCTGCAGTGACAAATGTCACTGCAGCATTTTAAAACTGGAAAATGTCAGAGTAGTTTAAAATGCCATCATAAATGACTCGGCAATCCCAAAACCAGAAGATATTCACCTTAACAATCATATAAAACAGAAATAAACAGCAAATCCTCAAACTTGGGAACAATAATTTTTTGGCACTTTTGCTTTAAAAATGAATAACGATTAACAAGTTGTACAAATAGTTCCAGATGGTTTTACTGCTGATCACACCAATAGTTTCATAATTTAGGGACATTACAGTTTTGCTAAATGCAATGTTTGCTTCCAAATCATTGGAAGATATGTGAAGAGGGCACATGAATGCACCTTCTGTATCAGTTTCCAGACCACCTGCAGACTGTTCCTGTTGCATCCGGAAACAAGCAACACTTTATTTCATCTAGAAGCTGAACAAACATTCAAACATGCCTTTTATCCAGCCTCAATATTTTATTTTACTTCATCATTTGAAAGTATGTGTAGTGTTATAAAGTGCTTCAAACTAATTAAAATCAGACAGCATTATGATTAAGCTCCCTCTTCTCTGAGTTATCCTGCTCACTATTACAGCTCCTCTGACAAATTACAGTCTACACCCGGGTGGCCTTAATGAGCAACAGTGTGGAAATGTTAGCTTTGTTTCATATACAGTTAGTTGATCTGGGTCAACGTTTTCTCAATCATTTTGTTGTTAAAACAAAAGAGGACTGCATAGGGAAAAGCAAGTGAGCATTTTACCATTAAACTCAGAATGGAAACCTCTCGACCTTGAAACAGTCCCCCCTGATCACCCTCTCTGCCGAGGAAACATTGATGTTGCGTGTTTGTTCAGTGCTCTGACACCTGTGACTCGGTCTGGAGGAGCCCATTGTTCTTATCTGAGATGGTATAACTCGTCTGGCTCTCGAATCTTAGGAGAAATATTGTGGTTGCCGTACTGTGGCGAAGTGATAATGCAGAAACTGGCAGCTGAGCCTAAATAAGATCCATGTGAAAATAACATTGCTGCCCTCAGACAAAACCCAGGACCGTGAGACACCCTCATCACTTGGTGTGATGGTTCGATGGCCTTAAAAGACCTCTGGCTGATTTAAATCTCACACTTGATAGAGAAAGTTCAAGCACTGAATAGTCAAGTATAATTTCAAATGTGCACTTTCTGTGCAGGGAAGTCTTATACAGAGGTTATGATACTTTAAACCTTCCTACGATGTATTAGTAAACTGATTTTAGGAGATTCCCTGCACATGTGTGCCTTCACAATTATTTGCCACTTGTCGTTGTTTATTAACATAATTCTTCTGTATTGATTATTTAATCTCCCAGAGCCGCTATGGAATCTATGTTTTTCTTGTTTGTTTTCCCACAATCGAGCCAAATTGAAAAATAGGTTACATTTAGTATAAGTTTTGATTAAAAAAAGCAGCACATTCTAACTTATAACAAGTTAGAAACATTGAACATTTGGTGTTTTGAAAAGAGTACATTTCCTGCCCTTTAACTAATCAGCATATCGACTAATAATTTCAGCTTGGGTACAGATAAGACAAACAAGTGCTTTGGCATTTCCTTTCCTTTGAGGCCATGTGAAAGGTTATTACTCATGTCACTTTTTCTTTCTTTTGTCTTTTAGGGATTTGCTGTCTGCTATAAAGCCTAGGGCCCTGAACAACAGAAATAAACAACACAACAAACACAGTGCCAGCACAAAACCAAGAACAGGAAAATGTCTCGAACCGAGGAGGTCAACAAGATGACAGAAAATGTATATAAGGTATGACGCCTCTCTCTATTTGTCTGCACAAACACTTAATACAGTATAGTAAAATGTTAGAAATGAGTAAGAATAGATTGTCATAATCTGCCTGTCATTTATTTGTGTGTATTGTTGCCAACAGGGGATTCTGGACCAGTTCAACCCCAGTCTGAAGAACTTTGTGACCATGGGGAAACACTACGAGAAAGCCCTGACCGGTCAGTCAAATACAGGATCCTTCACTTGCCTTTGATTTGTATGGATTACTGAACAGGATATTTCTTTTGTTTTTCCTAAAATGAACTCTTGTTTCAGGAGTCACTGTGGCGGCCAAAGGGTACTTTGATGCTCTGGTGAAACTTGGAGAGCTGGCGAGCGACAGCCAGGGCTCCAAAGAGCTGGGTGAGTGGGCGGCTGGTGGAGAAGTGAGGGGAAATAAAAATGAATTAGTGTTGGAGCTAATAAAGTTAAGAGAGTCGTCGTGACAGCTGGAGATAAGTTGAAAATAGTCTGCGTTGGTAAGAGAGGAGATGAAGACAAGAGGGAATGAGGAAATGTAGAGGGAGAGAGGGAGAGAAGAGAGGGAAAGGGAGAGAGTAGGGTCATTGTTGGGAGATTAACAACACCACATGATCTCATTGTAATGCTGAAAACAGCGGGGGAGGCAGGCAGGAGAGTGGAGGGCGAGATGCCAGCCACCGCATACTACAGTGCTGTGTGACTGAGAGGGGGGGGGGGGCTCACAGCTGACCGCCACTCTGTAAATGAGAAACTGTGTGAAAACTGAACGTTTTATGACTTTTTCACTGAGGCGTGCTCATGCATGTGTCATGATGTGGATAGCATTTGATTGAGCACAGATATTTGAGATTTTCTGCATGGGGTTAAAGATGCACTCTAACATATCGCAAGCTTGTCTAACATCAAATGTATATAAGACTGACGGC